CAAATATCTGAAAATTTCTGATAAATCGCATTTCGTTTTGTCTGAAAATTCCGATAGTAGCATTTCGTTTCTCTGATATTTCGGATACATAGCTGAAATTTCTGAAGTTAGTATTTTCGTTCTCTAGGCATATTGGGATAACGATAGAAGTGGTCATATTCTCGGAAACTGAAATTATTCTTCTCTGAAAATCGAATTTCCATTCTATCTCGCAAAGTTTTTTTTTGAGAACCGAAATCTTGCGAAGCCTACCAATATTGCGTTAGGCATATTCGCAGGTTGCATATTCTCAGAAACTGGATTTCGTTCTCTTCTGAAAATCGCATCTTTACTCCATCTCGCAAAATATTTTTTTTTTCAAGATCGCAGTTTGTAAAAGCCGAAACTTTGCGGAACGTAGCCTAGATCTCATTCATAGTACTCTTCTGACATGTCCTACTCATAATGGATCGACAGATATACAAAAAAAAAAAAGAAAAAAAAAAGGAAGTAGTCCTCTTTTATTTTTTTATTTTATTTTTTATCTGTTGATTAGGGCCGGAGGAAAGTATTGTTGGGTTGGTTGCCTACCTACGTTTTCCCTCCCACCCACCCTTTGCATGTTTTTCCCAGTTGGTACAGTGACACGTCCGCAACGGTGACAGGTCAGTGCCACATCAGCAGTGACACGTCAGCAACGGTGACACGTCAGTGCCACGTCAGCAGTGCCACGTCAGCAACGGTGACACGTCAGCAGTGCCACGTCAGACACAGTGCCACGTCAGACAGTGCCACATAAGCAGTGCCACGTCAGCAGTGCCACGTCAGACACAGTGCCACATAAGCAGTGCCACGTCAGCAATGCCATGTCAGCAACATGACGGGCCTGCCAGGCCAACTGGCCAATGAGCCCATTGCCGATTACAAAAAGCGCTTTCAGGCTCAGCTCGCTGTAATCGAGGCTGAGGAACAACGCCAGCTGGCAGTCAAGGCTGCCCAGCTACAGGCTGAAGAAGCGGCAACAGCAGAGAAGCTGCGGCTACAGGCCGAAGCAGACGCAGATGCCCAGGCTCGCTGCAAGGAAGCCCAGGATCTGCTGCCGCGGCATGAAGCCAACAGCATCGAGAGACTCAAGTACTGGCATTTTGAACCGAACGGCGACGAGGCAACACCGGAAGAGCAGCACAAGGAGTTCATGGCCAAGCTCGTGACCAGGCTGGTTTACACTTGTAACCACCTACAGTCCGAGCTGGCGAACCTTCAGCGGGCCGTGCGGAACCATAAGATTCAGCACGAGGATGCCACACGGGCACTGGACGCCCGTGTACTGGACCTGGAACAGGCTGTACCAGGACCAGATGCTGGAGCTTCCAGCAGTGCATCCTCTAGCCGCCAACTGGAGGAACGCGTTGACCTCGTAGTGGCAATGCTAGGAGACATAAGTGCCTTCACAGAGCCGGCCACCATCAACCAGCGGTTCGAGTTGCTGGACACTAAGATCAGTCAGCAACAGCAGACTGACCACAGCCACAACAAAAGCTTGGCGAGGCCATACAAGATGCCGACGTTCCGGATCGAGAAATTTGATGACTACACACATCAAAACCCGGTCGTCTGGTGGCAAGGATTTACAACGGAGTTGGGGATTCACTAAGTCCCTGACCATCTGTTCATCAGTGCTCTGTTCATCAACACCAAGGGAGGTTGTCAGATCTGGCTCAGCCACATGGCAACCATCCACGGCGTCCAGGTTTCAGACCTGTACAAGAATGTCTCCTGGGAGGACATGACGAAGGAATGGAAGAAGCGGTTCATCGTCGACGATGCCCCGGCACTCGCCATCAACCGCATCTTCACGATGGCTCAAGGGAGCACACCGACACGTGACTCGCTCACGGATTGGCAGAAGATCGTGGCAACGCCCGATTTGGACTTGCCATTTCCGCATCTGCGGCGTGAGTTCTACAACAGGTCATGCGCCGCTCTCAGCCTTGCACTTGGTGATCGCGAGCAGTACAACACTTTCGCAGAGATCATCAACAAGGCAAGGGAGATCATCAAGACTAACAGGGCAGCTGCACACGAGAAGTCAACGTGGCAGCCAACCTATGTGGAGAAGGTAAGAACTGGTCCGCGACAGCAGCAGTTCGCTGCAGTCCAGTCGGACAGTGGAGATAACCCAGCAGCCACTCCAGCATCAAGTGACGGAGATCAGGTGGCTGCTGTCCAGCCGCGAAGCACCAACAACTCCCGCAACAATGGGAAGGCGAAATCCGCATCGCAGGCCGGAATTGAACAGCCAGTACAAGTTCCATGGGTCAGGTTCGGCTTGATCGAGGCGGAGTACAAGGTCCGCGGCCGCTACGGCAACTTCTATTGGTGCAACAGCACCAAGCACAAGACCTCCCTGTGCCAGGATCAGGGCAAGGAGGATGTGCGACCCGGCCTCAGCTCGGGAAACTGAGCTCCGCGGAAGGTGAGGCGACTCCACCTTCTACTCCGCCAGATTCGGCCGCCTTGCTAGCGGCCTCCTGCACATCTGGGGAGAACGCGGATGTCGCAGGTTCTCGTTACACTTACGAGGACTATGCTGTCCACTTGGTTCCACCGCTGGACTAACCGCTCCACGTGCAACAGTCCACCGCATGCACGGTTTCATCACCATCGGCAACCGCTTCGATAGCTTCGCCGCCATCTATCGCCGGGGATTTATCGTCGTGGTCAAGACTTGAGGTGCTCGACCCATTGACGTTCACGGACTTCCAGTGGATGCCCGTTCCCCCGACCGGACGATTGCCGAAACCACATTGCAATGTGCTCATGGCACAACTGCAAGATTACTTGCACACTGCAGTACCAACTCCGTTGATGGACGCCGGAGTAGAGGTTGTCGATCTTCACGTCTACATTGCGAAGATCGACCGTGAGTTCAAGAGTACGACGAAATCGACGCACCATTGCAATATGTACGCATTCAGATCGGGGAAGCGACCTGCAGGGTTTTGATCGATTGCGGAGCATCTCGCAACTACATCAGCCAGGACTTCATGGTGCGTGCCGGCCTTGGCCCATGCGTCCGGAGGAAGCCCCAGCCTACGCAAGTCACATTGGCGGACGGTCGCACGCACAAGTCAATCGACCGGTGCATTGACAGCGTCCCAGTGTACTTTGCCCCTCACGCAAGTGAGGCGGTGTCCTTTGACATTCTGGACACCAAATTCGACATGATCTTGGGCATGTCATGGCTGCGAAGCAAGGATCACCCGGTGAACTTCTTCAACCGCACCGTTCACATTCATTACCGGAACGGCGTATTAGTTCCATGCACGGTGCCTCTTCCTCATCCTTCGATCAGCTCCCACGTGGTATCCGCCGCAAGCATGCGAGCTTCCATCATCAGAGACGACATCGAGGAGATGGGGGTGTGTTTTCTCCACGCCCGCCCGCCCCATGACGCTTCATCGACGGACTCACCTTCGGATCCACGCATCACCGAACTTCTCGACGCCTACATCGACGTGTTCGAAGGCCCGCACGGAGTACTACCGGATCGACCCATCCGCCACGAGATCATCCTCGAGGACGGGGCCGTACCTCCACGCGGTTGCATCTACCGAATGAGCGAGGAAGAGTTAAGTGTGCTTCGGGCACAACTCGACGACCTTCTGGAGAAAGGCTAGATTCGGCCTAGCTCATCGCCATACGGTGCTCCTATTCTCTTCACCCGGAAGAAGAACAAGGACCTGCGGTTGTGCATCGATTATCGCAAGCTCAACGCGCAGACGATCAGGAACGCCGACCCTCTCCCACGCATCGACGACCTTCTCGAGCGATTGGGCGGCACCCAGTTCTTCTCTAAGCTTGATCTAATCAGGGTACCACCAACTCGAGATTCGCAAGGAGGATCGCTACAAGACCGCGTTCAAGACACGGTATGGGCATTTCGAATGGCTGGTCATGTCGTTTGGCCTTACGAATGCCCCAGCCACTTTCCAAGCGGCTATGACAACGGAGTTCCGACACATGCTGGATCGGTTTGTACTCATCTACCTCGACGACATCTTGGTGTACAGTCGGAGTTTGGACGAGCATGTGGAACACCTGCGCACCGTTTTGGAGCGCCTATGACAAGCCAAGTACAAAGCAGACCGCGACAAGTGCGAGTTCGCACAGCAGGAGCTGGAGTACTTGGGACACTATGTGACGCCGCAAGGCATCCGTCCGCTTGCGGACAAGATCGAGGCCCTACGAGTATGGCCCGAGCCCACCAACACCACGGACGTTCGTTCATTCATGGGGTTGGCGGGCTACTATCAGCGATTCACCACCGGATACTCCAGGATTGCTGCACCTATGACGAGGTTATAATCGCCAAAGGTGCCATTCGTATTCGATGACGATGCACGCCGGTCATTCCAAGCACTTAAGACGGCTATGCTCATGGCACCCGTCCTTAGCATCTATGACCCCACCCTGGCGACGCGAGTGACTACGGACGCTTCCGGCTATGGCATTGGGGCAGTCTTGGAACAGCACGACGGCGACGACTGGCACCCTGTGGAGTATTTCAGCCACAAAGTGCCTCCCATCAACTCGCTTGATGATGCAAGGAAGAAGGAGCTGCTCGCATTCGTGATGGATCTCAAGCGCAAGCGACACTTCCTCCTTGGGCGTCATAGGTTCACATGGGTCACAGACAACAATCCATTGACCTTCTACAAGATGCAGGACACGGTGAGCAGCCAATCGGACGATGGATGTACTTCATCGACCAATTTGACTTCACACCGAAACATGTCCCTGGCCTCTCGAATCGCGCAGCAGATGCACTCTCGCGAAGACCCGATCTTTGCGCTATGGCACATCATGCCTTCGCATTCGATGAGGAGCTTCAGCGACACTTCATCCGGGCATATTAGTCTGATCTGGACTTCGACACGCTCTATGCACAGCTATCTTCGGATCACCCGCCGGCCAGCCATTACCGCGTTGCCGACGGGTACTTGCTCCTCCACTCGAGAGGCAAGGACTTACTATGTGTCCCACGCGACCGTCGTCTTCGGACTCGCCTCCTCGGCGAGTACCATGATTCACCACTCGCCGGCCATTTCGGAGTCAACCGCACTATTGCACGGCTTCGACAGCGATTCCGATGGCCCGACCTCATTACCGATGTCACTCGGTAGTGCGACTCTTGCGAAGTTTGCCGACGCAGCAAGCCCCGCAACCGCAATCCCTACGGCGAGTTATACCCGATGCCTATCCCACGGGAACCCGGTCTCTCCATTGCCATGGACGTCACCGGTCCGTTTCCTCGCGACCGACTCGGGCACGACGGCATCCTCACGGTTGTGGACCGATTGAGTAAGTACGTGCGTTTTCTCCCTTGCAAGTACTACTCCACGGCTCCCGAGCTAGCACGCCTCCTGCACACTGCTTGGATTTGTGGCCACGGTGTACCAGAAGACATTGTCAGCGACCGCGACACTCGTTTCATGTCGGCGTTTTGGATCGCTCTCATGCAGGAGTCCGGCACAACAATGAAACCAAGTTCGGCTCGGCATCCTCAGACAGACGGGCAGACGGAGAGGGCACATCAAACCGCTCAAATGATGCTTTGTACGCTCATCCGTCCGGACCAGAAAGATTGGGTTGACCGCCTCCCCGACATCGAGTTCGCCTACAACACTTYMRTGCACCCGGCGATCGGCGTGACTCTATTCGAGTTGCACCACGGTGGACGGAAAGGCCGTATCTTCGCCGACCTTCTCCTCCCTCGACCAGGCAACATTGACGCTGCCTGATCCCCCGCTTCTGTCCGGAAGTACAGGGAATTGCTGACTCAAGCCCGCGCAAATATGCAAAAGGCTCAAGTCTGCATGCAGCAGCAAGCCAACAGGCGTCGCGTACCATGTCCCATCCGCGCCGGTGATCTGGTTTGGGTCTCCGCGGAAGAGTTTGCACTGGAACAGGATGTTTCACGCAAACTGCTTCCCAAGTGGTTTGGACCTTGGTCTGTGACAGCAGCCGCGGGCGACGAGCCCGATGGCCCTTCATTTGTGATCAACATTCCAGAGCATCTGACGGTCCATCCGGTCTTCCACGCCTCGAAGCTGGCAACATACACGCCAGCCAAGAGCGACGACTTTCCGGGCCGACGATCGCCGGACCCTCCTTCTATGGACGGTCATCAGGAAGTTGACCGCGTCATCTCCAATCGCAAGTATGGCAGCAAGCCGCGGCAGTACAAAGTCACATTCAAAGCATGCGATTGCGATGACACTCGGTGGATTTCAGGCGCAGATTTGAAAGCATCCACTCCGCTGATCTACGCACATTATGAAAAGCGGAGGTTAGCTCAGGAAGCTTCAGGACCAGCCCCTCCCACCCGGACTGTGGTCCCTCCCTCAGACAGACAGCTTCGCCCTCGCAGGTAAGCTCGGTTCTTCAAGGAGGCGGGGGGGTGGCATACTGCGTAGCCACACGGGCCCTGCAGGGCCCGTCCCGGACATTCAGCCTAAAAGCCTAAAACTTAGGGCTTACAGGCCCCGTTCGTTTCAGCCTGAAAGCTGAAAAACGAGGGCCTGCAGGCCCTACTCCGTTTCAGCCTGTTTCTGGGTCTTTCAGACCCAGAGTTTTTACAGCCTGCAACGGAGGGCCATTTTCAGGCCCTCATTGTTTCGACCTGACCCTAAGACTCAGGCACGTAAACAGGGATGCGGAACAGGCCAAGAATAGCCTGTTCCTCGAGTTTGAGCAGGAAGCTGCAGCGGCAGCCCCTGCCTCCGATCGGCATTGGGAAGAGCAGCCTCCTGGACTGCTCGCCTGCAGTCAGGAGGCACCCCGGTAGTACATAGGACTGTCCTAGGCACTTCATGGGGAGGTAGTGGTCAGTGCACACGAGTAGTCTTCAGGATTTCAGCCGCAGCACTCAGGAGGAGCGCTGCAGTAGTCTTCAGCGCTAGGTAGTATTAGCGCTAGCTGTAGTCTTCGGCGCTGGGCGCCATAGCTGTAGTTGTAGTCTTCAGCGCTGGGCGCTGGTAGGTGGTAGATCGTAGAGTGGGAGAGATACTGGCGGAGGCCAGTGATACTTACCTGTGGCGCCATCGCTCCAGCTCCATCTTCGTAGTACCTGCATCAAGGCGCCAACTTCACAGGTTAGTACTGGACACAGAGAGAGAGAGAGTTCTCCTTCTTCCTCTTCTAAGTCCACCATCCCTTCTCACCCTCTCGCCACCTGACTTCTCAGACTACGACAGAGAGAGAAAGAGTTGTGACTTGAGACTTGACGACATTGGATCCAGACTGGACATTGGGATTCAGACATTTCGACGAGGGACTATTTGGGCCTGTACCGAGACTTGGTGTTGTCGACATTCCCATCTTCCCCTCCTCTTTCGTCTAACCCCTCCTTCTTCGTCTGTGTATGGTTGGGGCTGGCGCAGTCTTCTTGTGTGAAGCGCCAGACCCCCTTCACACCAGATAACGATGATGATGATGTGTGTTCAGGGCTGCATTGCAATATTGATTGTTCGGATCTATCGTATCTAAGTCTTCCGCTGTGTTATCTTGTACTTTGTATTGAGAGGTCGGTTCTTGTTCTTGTCTGCACGTTACAGTATGCAACACCCAGCCAACCCCACACAGAGTAGAAAGAACTGGAAACAGGTTTCAAAAATTCGAAACCTCGCGGTCCGGCCTTGAGCGCGGTCTGAAAAAAAAAAAAATTTGGCCTTCACAACAATTTTGGCGGGGGGCCTCCGATGTGCCGTTTCGACCCCTGCCTTTTTTTTTTTCGGGGGGGGGGGGGGGCGTCGGGCCGTTCCCCGCACACCTCGTGCGTCGCGCGGGAATGGTTGGGCCCGTGCACCGGACGTCGGGAAACTCGCGCACGACGTGCGCTTGCAAGTATGGTCTTACTACTTGTTATTTATCAACTAATTGGTCATTACTTTTCAGTCATTGGTAATATTATTTTTCATTCGGTTCCTGTTTCTGCAGCAGCCTCCTTTATGATTCCTCGCTGCCAGCTGATCGTCGCTCTATGCACGGGTGGTTGGTTTCTTTCGTCACCTGTAACAGACTCCATGTTCCCAAAAAAGGACCCAAATAGGGAGGAGCAACTCTGTTTGTAGCCTGTTAACTTGTTTCTAATTTTGACGCTGCGATCCCCAAGTGGGGAGGCAAAACTATCCAAAATTTCTTTGATTCTCAGACCAGCTCACCTCCTCCTCAGGAAGGGAGATGAAAATTTTCCGGAAGATGTCAACTTTGTTTGAGGTAACTTTGACCATCAGCACCTGTGTGTATGCATGCTGAAATTGAAGTCAAACAGTCTGATTTCATCTAAAGCGAAGGAGAGAGTTACCCAGCCCATGTGGCTGAATGGTACACCCAGTCCATGCGGTAGCTGAGGCCAAGGAGGGAAGGAAATGGAGGCTGCAGCTATGGGAGGAAGATGGCATAGGAGGAGAAGGGCGAAAAAGGGTAGGAAGAGAGGATGAAGGGAGAGGCGGCACTCGTTGGAGGAAGGACATTCATCAGACAGATCTCGAACCCTTGACCTGGTCCTCTGTTTTGGGACTGTTCAGTCTGTGGGTCTCTTTGCGTCTGTAAGTCGTTAACTCTTAAAGAGCGGAAAACTTATGCAATCCAATGAGCGAAAAACATGATTGGCACAAAAGGGGTGAGAGAAAGAAGGGTCTGTTTGAGTCTGTTTTCAGCAACACCCCCTCCCCCCCTCCCCCACACCACCAGTACGTTTCCCAGCCATTTTTTCACAGTCACCGCATGCATGGTGCCACGATTCTCAGGAAGTACCAGGGTGTCGTTTCGCTGGACATCCATCCAGGCAAAACGGGACGTGCATGCGAGCCGTTTCGCCTGGATGGATTTGCCACGAAACGGTGGCCCCGTACTTCCCAAAATCTGCCACGATTCTGAAAAAATGGCTGGGATATGTACTGGTGGTCCAAGGACGGTTATGGATAGATTAACTGTGCTTCACTGCTTACCTGGTGGATGCATCTGAAATTCGAAAAGAAAAAAAAACTTGAAAACAGGATGAATGCAATACTTACCAAGACAGGGAGAACTGGTACATGGGGTCGATGCCCGCCAAGTCCATGACGCAGAAGTAGTACAAGGCAGCTCGCTTTGCAACCGGAGCATAACATGCTCTCGCAGCGTCTATCTTCCTTTCCATTTCCTCTGCAACAGCCTGACCACCCATTTTGTTTGAAATGGGACCACCACATAACGCGGGTCAGAGGGGTTTGTGTCCGTGTTTCTGTGTGTGTGTGTGTGTGTGTGTGTGTGTGTGTGTGGTATATTGTCACCACAACAGACCCTGTTCCACCGAGATGAGTAGATCCAAAATCGAAGCTTTGCCTCTATTGCAGACAATGAAGCAACACCAAAGATGAGCCGATCCATCAATAAACAGCTTCACCTCTATAGCAAGCAACATGAAGCAAAATAGATCTGTTATATCCCTTTCTTGACTATCTTGCTTTGACTTTCTTTGGGGTACCCCTTTTATTTGTTGTTGCAGCTCCCCTTTTACTGCGCCTCTCACATACAAGCCTCATCACATTGATTGTGTGTGCGTGTGTGTGTGTGTGTGTGTGTGTGATGATGTGTGTGAAAATAGTAAGAATACACATTGTAAGTATCCCCAGCATGGTAAAGGGCCATGCACCATACCATCCCAACAACTCAGAAGGAAAATACTCATCTGAGTGAGTCGAGTCCGAAGACAATCCTCCAAGTGCTACACCTAAACAGACCCATTGAAAAAAAGAGGCATGCTAACAGGGTGGACCAACAACACAGCACTAAAGCTAATTGCATGGAACAACAGCGCAAGCGGCTGGACAGCAAGGCAACAACACAGTCAAGCACAAGGCAGCGCTGTCAAAGCAGATGAGCTACACAGCACACACGCAAAGTGGACAGGAAGGCAAGGATCGTGGATTGGCAGCAATGCAGCAAGACACAGAGCAACACTGACAAAGCAACCAAACTACACCGCAAAACACAAGCTGCAAGGAAATGCATGGCAAGCGGGTGGGCAGCAAAAGGCAGCGAAAGAGCGCAGGCAAGGCAGCCCACACATCCAACGTGGACCAAAGCAATCCATCACTTGCTCACACCACAAGTCGAACCCTGCAGACTGATGGTTCCCACCACCCGCTGAGTCAAGAAGCCACTCCCACGAACCTCTGTCATCATTCATGGAACTGCAGCCACATACATCCCGAAAAAGGCCGCCCAACAAACAGTGTTACAGAGACTCCAAACAAAGCACCACCGACTGGTTAGCACTTCCTAGAGGGGCTTGCTTACACAAAAACACACACAGCTGATTTTTTTATTTCCCCCTTCTGTGTGTGTGTGTGTGTGTGTGTGTGTGTGTGTGAACGGTTGGATGACCTCACTGCAGCCCGTACTAACACTCTTGCCGAGTTTAATCGATGATTTGACAGTCACAACGACCGAGACTGAGAGAGAGAGAACGAGAGAGAGAGAGAGAGAGAGAGAGARRGAGAGAGAGAGAGAGAGAGAACCCTATTTTAAAAAAAAACAACGAACGAAATGGAACGGTTGGATGACCTCACTGGGGCCTGTACTAACACTTTTGCCGAGTTTAATCAATGATTTGACTGTCACAACGACCCAGACTTATCACCTGCACTCTCTCTCTCTCTCTCTCTCTCTCTCTCTCTCTCTCTCTCTCTCTCTCTCACACACACACACACACACACACACACACACACACACACAC